CCGCTTCCGGCAGCAGCGAGTCCGCCGCGCAGCGCGGCCCGGGCAGCACCGAGCGGCGCCCGCAGCGCTCCCCCGCCCGCCGCCCGCCCACCGCCGCCGCAGGCACCATAGAGAGCAGCAACCATAGAGAGGAGCGGCGCGGCGCGCGCGCCCCCTGCCGCCCGGCGGCCCCGCGGCAGCACGGCCGCCAGCGGGGGCTGTTCCCCCCATCACCTCCTTTTCCCAACGGGAAAACGGCGCCGAGAGCCCCCGGAGCAGCCCCCGGGAGCTCCGAGCAGCCCCCAGGAGCCCCCGAGAGCCCCGAGCTCCGCGGCGGGCGCAGGGGCCTGCGCGGGGCCGCACACAGCAGCCGTGGGTCCCTCCTGGCCGGCTCCTCCGGTCACCCATTCCCATGGAACAGGAATGATCCATGATTCACATGGAGCAGGATGGTCCCTCGTGGGTTGCACACCTTGCAACGCATCACCTGGAAGCACACGCTGACCTGGCTGTGTACAGGAGCCAAGGGCAACTATCCTTGACTCGTTTTACCTCCAAGATCGCTTTTCTTTTCACAGGGAGATTTTATATATATATTTATATTATACACATATTATTTAAGCACAGTTTCATRGGCAGATGCTGAAAAGGGCCAGGCAACACAGCATAGTGTTCTCGTGTCTAAACGTGGTCTAAACGTGTGATGGGACCAGTGAGGCCAACGGCTTCTCCCTGCCCTTAACACACCAGTTTGGGACTTCRGATTCCCAAAGTGCAGCGTTCCTGACCTGTTCGTTGTGGCTCTTCACTCTGCCATTCCCTCCGTTTCACGGGAAGCCCATGCAAGTCATCCCACATGTTGGGAGAAGTCTCCTTTGAGCCACCCCTCCCGAGCGCCGCCAGCCTCCGTGGCAGCTCCGGGTGACCCACTGAATTCCCCTTACAGAGAGCGGGAAAGGAGCCCGCGAGGCATTTATGCGTCACCCCCTCTGYCAAAAAGGGAATTTTCTGCTGCATGGAACCTGCTGTCTGGAGCGCAGCAGGAAGGACAGGAGCTCAGCCCTGGCTGCAGCGGCACAACCGGCTTTGGGGACCCACCGTGGGGCTGCATGTCCCCAAGAGCCGCCTTGGCACAAAATGCAGGGTTGGGGGGTTTTTTACCCCCTTCCTTGCTCAGTCATTCATCCTTACGGTGGCTTCTTTGGGGGTTTAAAAAAAAAATCAGATTTCTCCAAGTCGTCTCACTGACAGTTCAGCATGACTCAAAATCCTTCTCAGTCCCTCAAAGGTGCGAGCAGCTATGAGGAATGAAGAGCGAGCAGGGACAGAACCCCATTCATATCTCAAAGGAGGTCACAACTCCGCGCCCGAGGCTTTAACTGCCCAAGAGCTGCATTAATTCAATTACCTAAAGCAGATAATCAGGCAAGCTCGCAAAATTGTGACCTTCCTACTGCTTCTTAAAGGCACAGCAGGCCTGCCACAGCAGCCAGGATTCAGGCTGGATTTTAGAATTTCTCCACAGCACATTCCCATCTTGGAAATAACTGAAGCTTGTAACTTTGGGGGAGAAGAAATGCAACTGAGCTGTGGACCTTTAGGTAAATTCTTTGTACTTGGAACAGGCCCCTGAATAATGTGACCTTGAAGTCAGCTCCTTGTGAAAGGAGAGAGCACAGGGCAGTGTGAACGCTTGCCTACCTAGTGATAACTTAGTACCCAAATGCCATTAATACACTCCCAGCTTAMGGACACTCACTTGCACCCATCACCTTTCCAGCACCCAGTCTTTCAGCCGCAAGAGAAAGGCACCGCATTTGAGAAAACGTTGCCTTGTCAGCTCACGCAGAAGCACTTGCTTTACCAAGGCAATGCTTGTTGGGATGTTTGAGATTTCTGGATAGATTTGATATGGATTATTGTATTGTTGGGGTTTCCGAGATTTTAGATAGATTTGACATGGATTATCACGTTTATAGAGCTGCAGTTCATGCTGTGCAAGGACATCCTTCCTCTCATCTAGCTGACTTTACAATAGTTGTCTCCTCTCCCACCACCATTTTATATTCACCTCTCTGCTTTACCTATGGATGCCAATATACCTAGAATATGTCTCTTTCATCAGCTCCGTCGAGGATTTACCATCACTGGAACGAAATATATGGGAAAATAAGATAATAAAGCCACCAGTTCATTTAGAGAAATCTTTTCTTTAATTGTCAGTCTGGAACGCTCTCATGGAAGCGGACTCAAACCACAGAGGACAGAGCGATGGAAGCCACAGCCAGGGCCCGAAGCTGTCACATAGCAAAGAGGATAAGGAATGCCACCATCAAACAGAAAAGACCCATGGCCTCAGACAGGGCAAAGCCCAGGATGGCATAAGAGAAAAGCTGCTGCTTGAGGGATGGATTCCTGTATATAACACAAGGGGCAGGGGGGGAAAGAGAAATGGATTCACAGTGAGGAAAAAAAACAAGTAACAAACAAATAACCCACAGCCTGTATCAGAAAACTAGGATGATCCCACACAGGTTATGCATTGCRGAGCACGAGCCAGACTGATAGCAGGCAGCCACCAGCTGGAAGGAGGAACCCATGTGCTCTTCCCTGATTTTARTGATTGGCAGTGGACACACCAAACCCTGAAGATTTGTTTCATCTGACCTGGCAGTACCAAGCAACAGCTCCTGCTAATCACTACTGCTTCATTTCTTCTAGAGACAGACAGAGCTCCACACAGCTGCTGCACCACTCAGAAATACAGGGAGTTTAAAACAATCCAGACACTTTCTTTTGTATCTTAATAGATTCATGGAGTATAAAAATGCTTTTATACTCCAGGAGACCACTGCTTCACTTAATCTACACACCAATCGAGAATTACATCTATACACTAATGCAGAATTGAAAATACGCTCTAGAAAAGGATGTGCTTATCTACCAGACCGACTGCTGGAAGAGGGGGATAMACTGGAGCCAGCTTGGCCTCTTGCTTACCTGGCATAGCCAATGATCAAGCTGCCAAACACCGTCCCAATACCTGCTCCTGAACCAGCCACCCCAACCGTGGCAGCACCAGCACCAATGAACTTTGCAGCAGTGTCAATATCCTTGGAAACAGCACTGGTCTGGAATTCCCGGCGGCTCAGCTGTGGATAGGAAACAGCAGCTGGCTGCGGGATAGAGAAGAAAAGACACAGCCATGTCACGCTGTATTAAAAACAAGCATATATATATGTATATATATTTACACACACACACACACATATATACACACACATATGTAATGTTATCATTATTTCTCCTTTACTCAAAACAGAGCAAGCTCAGCAAAATCTGCTAATCCATCCCTGATGTAGGCTACAAGTGATGTCCCCTTCCCAGTCACTCTCTTGCTACCCAAGCTTTCTTTTCCAAGTATCACAGACGGTAAAGACAGAAATACTAGAGCACATTTACCACATCAGTCTTACCTGAATGGTCTGAACCTCAGGCCTGCCGAAAACAGACATTGAAACTGGCCTGGCCAGAGCCCTGGAACAGCAGCGGAACTGCACAGAACAAAAGCAATTACCGCTAYGTTAGATGCCTCCACACTACCCCTCAGAAAAAAAAAAGCAGTTATTTTACAATTAAATTGTAATTTTTTTTAAAACAAAAAGCAAGTCCAGAATACTTCTAGTTTAGCCAGTAGGGCTACATCCCCAAGCAGTTTTGCAGGAGACCACACTGCAGCACTACAACAGTCACATCTGCTCCATCAGAATTTAGGTATCAATTCCATGCATTTACCGCCATTTCCACACTTGGGGACGTGCAGGGGACCGAGTCCCCTGACACCCAGGTCAGCGTAATTCTGCGGGGGCCCTTGGGCTTCCACGAGGCTAAAACGGTCACTACCACGCTCAGGTCACCAGAGGTGACCTTGCTGCCCCTCGCTACGGACGTGCGGCCGAACCAACCCCTGCACGCCGCTGCTGCTGAGGTCACCCCAGGCAGCGTTTTGAGTGAAACGCCACAAAATAAAGACCTGCCAGCTGTGCCTGCCCGCGGCTGCTGCTCCCTGCCCCGGCTACGGTCACTTACCAGCGCTGGGGAGCCGAGGAGCGCCACGGGGGTCTGCATTGTGGCTGGTCTGTTGCGAGGGGGGAGGAAAAGGGCAGAATTAGCACAGAAACGAGCGGGACCCAGGCGCTGCAGCCACCACCCGCCGGGCGCTGGGAAGGGGACGCGGCGTCTCCAGAGGCCCCGCAGCGCCGGGCTCAGCCCCGCTCCCGGCCCGGGGGCTGCTCCGGGCCTGGCGAGCGGAGCCGCCGCCAGGAGCCCGCGCGGCCCCCGCGCCCCGAGCGGCCGCCGCCCCTCACGGGACCGGGCCGAAGGGCGGGACGCGGCCGGGCCCCGTCCCGGCCCCCCCTCCCCGCGCGGGCCGGCGCTGCCCCCGCTCCGACCTGTGCCCGGCAGCGGCGCGGGAGGCTCTGACAGCACCGGGCCCCCACCCCGCTCACCTTGCCGTGTCCCTCCGCGTCCTCCACGCCCATTGGCTGCCGCCGCGCGCGCCGCGCTGCACCCTGGGGCAACGTCTGCGCTCTCCATTGGCCGCCGTCGGCACGAGGGCGGGCGCAGGRAAGGCGGTGCCGTGGCGCGGGCTGCCATTGGGCGCTCGCTCTCTCTCGCTGCGTGCTGGTTGGCTGGCGGACCATCGGTCCTCCAAAGGACCATGAAGCCCACAGYGGCGCTCTTGCTCCGCCCCAGACCATAGAGATTAACTTCCGGGGCGGGGCGATCCTCTTCGGCCTGGTCTAATGGCRGCCACACAGCGGCAGTGGTTGGAGGCCGCTTGGGGGCGCCTCTTATTATTACTAATARTTTATTATTGCTGTAGTTATTTACCATTGCTATTTGTTAATAATAATTTTACTCTTGTTATTAATAATAGTTTTGTTTCCGTGAGGTTTATTGCAGCGCGTGGCGGGGGCCGCCCGCGGTACCGGGCCTGTGGCGGCGGGGGGTGGGGGCGGCGGCAGGAGGCGCCTCCGCGGCCTCCGTAACGTCGGCCCCGCTGCCGGTAATGGCGGTGCCGGGG